ATACTGGTAATACAGGTTTGGGGTTGGGGTGGGCATTGGAGGACAAAGAAGAGTCTGGAGTTCTGGGTTTGGGTTTTTTCTGGCTTGGAATTAGAGCAGTGGATTCCTTTCCATGGGAGGGGCAGCACTTTTGGGTAGCATTGGGGTTTGAGGTTACCAAGTGCATAAAGGTCTCTCAGCAGTGTTTGAACAATCGGTGTTTCAGCACCCTCAGCATTCCCTAAACCTGGTTTTACCTCATCAAAATCTTTCATCTCTGTTGGCCAAGACCCTCTTTCCTTCTTCAATTATCTTATCCTTTTTGTCCCTGTTCCTCCTAACCTCCACAAATCTTTCATCAGGATGGGCTCAGCTCTGTGATGATGCTGTGCAACCTCATGGATTCAAGGAGCCACTGTGAAACTGCAGAACCTCATTATTAGAAATATGGGGCCATTGTGACACTGCCTCCCCCCCTGCCACCGCACGGACCGGAGTCGCTGGCTCTGCCCCACTTGGACACCTCTGGAGTCAGCATGTTCTTGGGCAGCACAACTTAGACCAGAGAGTCTCCCACATTTTCTCTGCCCCCTCTTTTCCCCAGGGACAGGGCAACCTCTTTCCATGGCCCCTCTGCTCACACAGGGTGTCCTGCTCTTCTCCTGGCACATCACATCTCCCCACAGAGCCTTTCCCCAGGGGAACACGTCTGTGCTGGCCTGAGCAGCCCTTCCTGCACCCCCTGCCCTCGCTCCCCACAGCCCCCGAGCTGGGGGGGCTGCTCTGCAGAGCACAGGGGCTGTGGGGCCCAGGGCCATGGGGGACTCTGTGGGGCTGTGCTGCTCAAGCTGGGAGGCAGAGCCAGCTGATGGTGCTCCCTGCCACTGACCACCTCCCACAGATGCTCCTGTGTGGCCATGGAGGGGGCTCAGAGGGGCCCTGCCTTGTTCCAGAGCTGGGACGTGGCTTTGAGGGCTGCTCTTGATCGACCTGAGGAGGTTCACTGAGGGGAACACAAGTCACTTGCAAGAGTTTTCCCTGTACCTGCTGTGTTCCCTGGGCTTGCAGAGCTCTGTTTGCCACTTCACTGCAAGATTTAGTACTTCATCTCTGGGTGACTCCACCCTGGGCAGGATTCTGCTCCAGTCCTCCATTCCCTGCTGACTGGATGGGATGGGCTGTCCCTGCAGATCCTCTGTGCTCTCCTGCACTTCCTGATTTCCTACAGACAAGTCCTCACCTGCCATCAGAGCCCTCACAACCTGCAGAGCCCCAGACAAGTGACTTGGAGATCATTTGTCATCTCCACTGGCCATCGGCCACCAACACAAAACATCTGAACCAGCCCTCAGTCCCTGAAGACCCAGTGGGTCCCTGACCTCACTGCACTGTCTCCATGGAGAAACAAGCAAAGCAACAAGACTTTTGAGAGTCTATTCCTTGGACTTCTTCTCGACACCAGTGTTGGGAAAAGACTTCAGCCTTCAGGAAGTGCCTGGAGGGGAACCCCTTTGCTGCTGGAACTGCTGTTGTGGAGCCCAGCCCTGTCCCAGCAGTGCCCAGGGCCTGTCCCTGCCTGTGCTCACAGGCCTGACACAGAGCAGGACAGTGACTGAGCTGCCAGAGCACTCAGGCCTTGGGCACGGACAGGAGAGGAGAGGGTGGGAGTGCAAAGAGAGCAGCTCTGAACAGACCCAGTTCTGGTGCTCCCTGGCAGTGCTGGGGCTCTTTTCCCCTTCACATCTGCAAATATGGAAATACCCTCCAGCTTCAGGGGAGGTCTTGGAGGAAGGATCTGGAAAAAAATATTTATGTCCTTTCTTACACTCAGAGAATGTGATTCCTCATGTACAAACTAACACAGAGAGGACGTTTGACAAATACCTTACTGCACAAACTTTTATTTTGTTTAAATGCACACAGAACATGATTCCTGATTTGTATATTTTGTGGGTCAAAAAAAAGAGGTAGAGAGTGAATTATATGGGATGAAGAATAAAATTTCAGTGTTAATGACAGGAACAGAGAGAAAAAACAGGAAAGCCCCCCACTCCAAACACTATCAAAAGCTTTAGAAGGCAGGCTGGGCCCAAAATGTGTTACACAATGAGTGTTCTGCAGAAGAAAAGAGGCACTTTATTACTTCTTAAAAAAACCCCCAGTCATCATTTTCCTCATGGCATCCCTGAGCTCCTGGTTCCTCAGGCTGTAGATGAGGGGGTTCAGTGCTGGAGGAACCACTGAGTACAGAACTGCCACCACCAGGTCCAGGGATGGGGAGGAGATGGAGGGGGGCTTCAGGTGGGCAAATGTGGCAGTGCTGACAAACAGGGAGACCACGGCCAGGTGAGGGAGGCACGTGGAAAAGGCTTTGTGCCGTCCCTGCTCTGAGGGGATCCTCAGCACAGCCCTGAAGATCTGCACATAGGAGAAAACTATGAAAACAAAAAAGCAAAGTTCTAAAGAGAGAGTAAAAAACATAAGTCCAATTTCCCTGATGTGGCCTGAGTGTGAGCAGGAGAGCTTGAGGATGTGTGGGATTTCACAGAAGAACTGGCCCAGGGCATTGCCCTGGCACAGGGGCAGGGAAAATGTATTGACTGTGTTCAGCAGAGCATTGAGAAACCCAGTGGCCCAGGCAGCTGCTGCCATGTGGGCACAAGCTCTGCTGCCCAGAAGGGTCCCGTAGTGCAGGGGTTTGTAGATGGCAACGTAGCGGTCGTAGCGCATGATGGTCAGGAGAGAAAACTCTGCTCCAAGAAAGAAGACAAGCAGAAAGACCTGTGCAGCACATCCTGTGTAGGAGATGGTTGTGGTGTTCCAGAGGAAATTATCCATGGCTTTGGGGACAGTGGTGCAGATGCAGCCCAGGTCTGTGAGGGAGAGGTTGAGCAGGAAGAAGCCCATGGGGGTGTGCAGGTGGTGGTCACAGGCTACGGCGCTGAGGATGAGGCCGTTGGCCAGGAGGGCAGCCAG